AAATAACAACGTTAAACATAAATAAAAATGTCTTTTTAATAAATAAATTGTCGACCTCGTCCATTTCTTTAACATATGACGTTGTTTACATTCGATACGCCAGACAGTTATGGTACGAGATTCATGGAAGATTGTAGGACCTTGTCTATCATGGTGGCCGAGTGGTTAACGTCAGCGTATATGACTCCGTATAGGATGCAGGTTCGAATCCTGTCTATGAACGAATATTTTCTCAAAATTTCTCGGACATTCAGGCCGGTAAATGTTATTTAATACTGTTTAATAAACAATTTGCTTAAATACTTGTATCTATAAAAAATAACAACGTTAAATAAATAAAATGTCTTTAATAAATACATTTACTTATATAAAAATACCATTCGATAAATTAATCTCAGCCCCTAGCTATTTTAAATAGTCTGCATTGTTATTCACTTTGTGGTAGGATCCATTAATTTGCTATTCGACAAATATGGTTGGTACAAGAGAGGGAATTTCAACCAGAGACTCAGTCAACACATTCTCCAGGAACGGTCGTCGGAATATACCATTGTTGCAAATTAGTACATTTTGTGTTGCATTACTATTCCATGATTAGTCAAGTTTCAACAATGAATCTCATCCTCGTCGCCATTGTTGCAAATTAGGTGGATCCTACCACAACATTCCCACACACACAAAAAAAAAATCAAAATATATTTCAGTTTTAAATAAACCAAAAAGGAGTATACCTTTACACTATCATACTGAAGACAAGGACTTTTCTCGGTCTATAAAAGCAAACCGTTTTGAGATAGCAGGATCAATTTCCTGACAAATATCAAGTGATGGTCTTTCTATATTCAAGCAGATCGTAATGGATGACACCTTCCACCAGACACACAGCAAGGACTTCTGGGAATAGAATCCTCATTTTAGCGCTGTAACTGGTTTCAAATTTTTGATATCCAAGACATTTTTCTCACCTTTAACAATATGGGACAAAACAAATGAAAAATGAAAGGTTGGCATTTCTGGTTAAAAGAATGCTACATATGGTGGTACATTGTGTTCAGTACTCGAGAGAAATCTCAAGGAAAATCCAGAATGCCTCTGTTTTTCCAGTTTTCTTGAAATGTTTGGGGCCAATTGAACATGATAAAGTTTGTTTGTTATTGGGGTGGGGGTGGGTGTCAAATCGCAGTTACTTTGATATGGATTCAGTTCAATAATCTCTTTCTGTTATATAGCAATAAAGTGTCGGCAGCGACACTTGAGTTTGAATATAGATCGCCAGTGAGCAAACACAGGCGATCCCATTATTGAATTAAATGGATCACGTGACTTTAGAGGAAACGTGTATATAGCAAGTCGCGTGACGTCTAGATTGATCGTTATTTCTCGTCTATCCTATGTTACTATACGGATCTTCATTTTTACTCTATCCTCTACTACTCTACGGATCTCCATTTTTAGTCTATCCTCTATACTATAGGAATCGTCATTTCTAATCTATCCTCTGTTACTATACGGATCGCTATTTCTAGTCTATCCTCTATTACTAAACGAATCGCCATTTCTACTCTATACTATTTCTCTACTCTGTTCACTATTCTATTTCTTTATTCGGATCACTATACGTATTACCATTCGACGAGTATTATCGAGCAAGTAGTATTACTGCGAGTGATATTCGAAGGCGTCTGGTACCAGTATTGTTCAACAGTGTTACTATAGTTGTATCTGCAATTACAAAGTCTCTACTACAACGAGCATTACAAAAGTGACAACGAGTATTCGTTGATGTTACCAAAGTTTCAAACGAGTGTTCGTTGATATCACAAAACTTTCAAAATTTATTCACGCAGATTGGTTCGTCTTTCAGAACAGGATTATCGCACTCGACATTTCACAACTGACTTGCCTTCGTATACACCGCACAAATGTTTTTAAATGCAACTATCTGCGTAATATATTTTCGGAATTCATAGAGCAAATAATTGTAAATATCTTACTTGTTGAATTTCTTGACATATTTGGGAAGGATATTTTGAATAATCCAGAACCTATAGGGACAGCAATCCACCTGAATACAGATAAAACATTAATTCAGTAAACATCCAAAAATAGAAATGGGGGTGGGATAAGAAAAGGATGTATGTTCTTTTCGGACTTATACAAGGACGCGATTCTGAGAGAATTAGAAGTTATTGGCAGCAAAAATCTTAACAAGATATGTTAGCGACAGTCTTGATAGCAGACACTGAAAGGAAACTACAAGAACTCGAAGATAAGGTATTGAAGGAAAGCGACACTGAAATCCGAAGGTGCATTGAGATAGCGAAAGATGCCTTCCGGAAGCTATGAAAAGTATTAAGAAACAAGAAAATCAAACAAGTACCAAAATTTAAATATCTAGGAATTGTTTCAACAGAGGACGGTAAGTGCGACACGGAAATCTGAAGGTGCATTGAGATAGCGAAAGATGCCTTCCAAAAGCTATGAAAAGTATTAAGACACAGGAAAATCAAACAAGTACCAAAATTTAAATATCTAGGAAGTGTTTCAACCGAGAACAGAAAGTGCGACACGGAAATCCGAAGTTGCATTGGGATAGCGAAAGATGCCTTCTAAAAGCTAAGCAAAATATTAAGAAAGATTACGTTAAAAACAAAGATAAAATTGCTAAACTGCTATGTAATATAACTCTTCCTGTATGGCAGTAAATCCTAAACAATCTCCTCATAAATAAAGAGGACACTTGAAGCAAGGGAAATATGGTTCAACAGAAGGATGCTGAGAATGCAATGAGCCCAACATGTGAGCGAGGACGTGGTTTAAAAAAAAACGGAAATAAAGAGGACACTTAAACTTAACATCTGGAAGTGCCAGTTAAAATGTCTACGGCACATAATGAAGAAAGAAGGCTTGGAAAATGTAATACTCACAAGGCAAGAGGGACAGAGGAAAACAACGCATCACCTACCCGGCGATCTTAAGTAAATGAATGTCGGGGCAAGGTATCAGAGAGATCTCAAAAAGACATTTATTAAGAGCTACAAAGGATAGGGAATTGTGGAGAGCCATGATCGCCAATATCCTGAAGAGACATGATACATAAAAGAAGAAACCTCTATGGGGTAACACTCTATAAACGCTTATAAACGACACGCCATTGAAGAGAAAAAGATAAACTAATTCTAGAAGCGCTCCCCTGCCTTAGATCTTCTTTGGTTTGTTGATTCAGAATTCATAGCAATGAAATGACATTGTTATAATGCTAAAATATATCCAGTAGTAAGGCATCTGATCAGGAGGTTTGAGTGAGTGTAGAAACACATCTTAATTGATATTGTTCCCAGGACCACCTTATGTTGAGATGGTACCACTTATTAGGGTCCTAACTATGGGCAAATAGTTAACCCCCAAACGGGGGTCAAAACACTATGAAAATATAAAAATACATTTTTATAATAAAAATACCAGCAATACATTTTCATAGTAAAAAAATTACTAACAATACGGATTTGTAAAAAATTATCAGCCATACATTTTTGTAAATATTACTAGCAATACTACTTTGGAAAAAAAAATATTACCAATAATACATTTAAGACAAAAAAAAAATAATGAAAAATATACCTAGTGTAACAGCAAAATTGTCCAAATCGTGTAACAGCAAAACTGTCCAATTGTTAGATTAAGTTCTTAACTGTTGTATCTTAGAACTGATTAAAGATATCTTACTGGAATTTCACCGAGATTTTTATAGCACTGCTGGGCTCTACCTTGAGTAATAAGAATGTATAATTACTCTCAAAACTTAATAGAAGAATCGTGATAAAATCGATCATAAACGAAAATGACATGTTCATCATTAATTAATCATAACTAAGGATCGGAAGTTCATGAAAGATTGAAATAAATTTCAAAGATATATATATATATATATATATATATATATATATATATATATATATATATATATATATATGTATATATAATTCCAGGATCATTTTCCAACTTATTTCAAGATGATCTTCGCCTTTTGTAACCTCCTTTCTCTCCCGGAGTAACAAGTTTCCTCCCACGTTTCATATACGATTTCATTTTCAAGTCTTTTTTCACTGATTTTCGGACTGTCATAGGTAAAACTCCTCTCTCACATGCTAAACGCCTTATGAATTTAGTTGGATCTTTTCTAACTGATCTCTTTAGCTCGATCATTTGGAAATGATGATCCCTCTTCCTGTTTTGACCTACTGATCGAGTTTTCATTTCTATTGTTCCGTCCTTTTTAAACTTATTCACCGTTCTATTGATGTTTCTTGAATGGAAGCCAGAGTATGGATGTTGATAGCATAACCGAAGGCCTGAATGATCTTTCCCCCTCTCGCCATTGATCATTTGAGAGGACGGTGGGACTGACACAAAACGATTTAAACCTGTACTCTTTCTTGCTGAATAACTGAAAGGTTTTTTTTCAGTGATTCTTGCGAGAAATCATATCAAGATGGTCTTATCTGAAAACATGCAAAAGGAAACTTAATCAGTATCGTGTTTTTTTTTTAGATATTAAACATTTTGTGGGATGGACATTTATACTGTTACACGATCTGGACAATTTTGCTGTTACACCCGGTATTATCAGAAGTACATTTTTTGTAAGTAAAATAAAAAAAAAAAAATTCCTAGCAATACATTTTTGGAAAAAAAAAATTACTAATAATACATTTTTGTAAATGAAATTACTAATCCACCCAAGAAAATTTTGACATTAAACGACCCAGAAGAAGTTGATGAATATGTCAGAGGTTAGTGTTCGATCTCAGGTGAATATCCAAAATCCGATAAGGTGATTTTCTCAGCAGCCAGGCGAAGCCCTTCCCCCTTAAGTTGAAAACTATATTATCGCCTTCTTCCCTTATTTCCAAATTAATCAGTCCTATTTCTGAATCTGAAAACGCAAATCTATCTTTAGTTAGATGCACACAATCGCATATATGCTTCTATATGCACGAATGTTCTTTTTGTTCGTTTCCAAAACGCGTGATAAAGTGATGGCTACAAAAAAGGCTGAAGGCTTTGGAGGCGGGGAGCTGTTTCTACTCCGGCCGGAAGGTCAACTTGGGCATCTTTTGTCCTTTTTCTTTGGGAAGTGACACATCAGAATATTTTATAAAAGACGGCATTTGCCTTCAGTTAGGCAACAACAAATTCACTGTCATATTTCGTTCATTTTTTCAGGACATTTCGCAAAAACTTCCTTTCCATTTACTTCTTAAGTCCTTATATTGATTCATTTTGTCTCCTGGATCATCATCTTCTTCTTCTTCTTCTTCTTGTCCTCCCCTTCTTCTTCTTCTTCTTCTCATCCTCCTCCTCCTCCTCTTCCTTCTCCTTCATCTCTTCCCCTTCTTCTTGTCTTCCCCTTCTTCTTCTCCTCCTCCTCATTCTCTTCCTCCTCCTACTCCTTCTTCTTTTCCCCTTCTTCTTCTTCTCATCCTACTTCTCTTCCTTCTCATTCTTCTCCTTGTTCTCCTCCTCCTTCAGGTCCGCCTACTTTTCTCCTCCCCCTTCTTCCTCTTCTACTTCTTCTCTTCCCCTTCTTATCTTTCTTCTTTTTCTACTCATATTCTTCCACATTTTCTTGTCTTCCCCTTTTTCTTCTTCTCATCCTACTCCTCCTTCTCTCCCTCCTCCTACTCCTTTTCTTCCCCTTCTTCTTCTTCTCTTCCTCTTCTTCTTCACTACCAGCAAACATTTTTTTGTTTGCTTAGCCGATATTTTTTGGCTTCATTTCATGGCACTCCGACTTTTCGAAAATTATATTTATTCTTCCTTTTATGAATACATCTTCATCTTTTCAAACGTCGTCTACTTTATAACTCTTCCTATTTCCTCCTCTACGATGTCTTCATCATTCGAATATTATTCATGTTATTATTATTATTAGCAATTATTATTATTATTCCCCTCTGCTTTTCCTTATATTCATCTTCTTCACTTTCTACATTTCCATCCAATTCACCATCGTCTTCTTCTTCCCATTATTATTATTATTGTTATTATTATTATTATTAGTAGTAGTAGTAGTAGTAGCCATTATTATGGTCTTATTCTTTGTCACCTCTTTGCCTTCTATAGTTCCATCCCAAAGCCTTCCTTCATTTGTAATTATTATTACCCTCTTGAAGCTGTGAAGTTTTTCCTTTGCCAGTCACCGCTGATGCATGTTTTGTCTTTTCTCCTTGGGGTTTATCTCTGCTCATGAGACTAATCGTCCCCGACGTATCACTAGTAGTTCACTTCGGGTACTCTTCAGTTTCGTATTTTGCTTCCCTTTTTTCTTTTTTTTTTTTAACAAGAATAGAATAGAGAAACGATAATATTTTTACTTAGACTAATACGCAATTGTCGTTTCTGGTTGATCCCATGGGAGGAAGCAATTCCTTCTCTTTGTTGTCAGCCAGAATAGACAATAATAGGTTTCAGCGGGATCAATAATGCCTGACTTTACTCAACTAACATGTACTGAGGACAAACATTATGCAGAAAAAGAATGGAAATGGAATAATAATAATAATAATAATAGGTCTTTCCGCAGACTTGACAGGTAGTGTGACGATAGCAGAAATCGAAATACAATGATGATGATAATATTAATAATTGAGAGAGAAGTACGTGAAGTAAGGCTAATAGTAGTAGTAATAGTAGTAGTAGCAGTTGTAGAAGAAAAAGAAGAAAAAAATGCAGCAAAGAAGAGGAAAAAAAATAAATACGAGAACAATAGTCGAAACGGAAAGAACAAACGAGAAAAGAGAAATATTTCATAAGAAGACGACTGATTTTGCTTTCTTCCGGCATATAACCGCTTTGTATATATATATATATATATATATATATATATATATATATATATATATATATAAAAATGAAAAGAACGAAGAGTAAGATTTCAGCGTTCAAACATTAATTTAAAACGGAGTTCTATACAAAAGTAGAGTAATAAATATTTATTTATTATTCAGTTACATTAGAACATGTACGTATCCACTACAAAACTTGTAGTGAGTATCTACATGTCCTAATCTTAGTTCATTTCATATATATATATATATATATATATATATATATATATATATATATATATATATATCAAGTATGTGGTGCAGTTCAACTTACATTACATGAATCATTCACAAAAAAAACAGATATAGAATTCTCGCCATTTATATTATTAACTTTTATATCTGTTTTTTTTTGTGAATGATTCATATATTATATATATATATATATATATATATATATATATATATATATTATGCACTGTTATATTAGAACATGTACAAAAACACTACAAGTTTTGTAGTCTGTACTAATGTTCTAATGTTACAGTAATTTAATATATATATATATATATATATATATATTATAAAGCAAAATACATATGATGAGACAAAAACCTTATGAAAAGAGTGATAAGCCGACATATTAAAAATTTTTCTCCATGCCTAAATGATAGACAAAAAAAAAAAAATTTTCCGTAACATCTCTTATATGCCACTTAATACTCGACAATCTCCTCAAAGATGAAGAATAAATTTGAGGTGACAGAAATGCCGTTCTACAGAAGTATACTGAGGATACCATGGACTGAACATTTGAGCAAACGACGAAGTTTTGGAAAAAATGAAAACAAAATGGACACTTATATTTTGTTATAAGTTCGTATAACGCTCATAATTCCTGATTAGTAAGACTGTAAAGAAAACACTGGAAACAAGGATTTGAATGAAGATTTGAATGAGAACATGGCTTGAGAATACAGCAGTTCAATGTAACAAGCCTACGCCTACAAACGCTACACCTGTGTGCTTCACTTTTGCCACTGTTCCCTGATCCGGTGTTCTACTTATAGCAGACAGACGAGTCCATGTTTCAATAATAGTGTAGAGAAGGTTAGAGAGTATTTCTGCACAACATAAGCCTGGTTATGACGATAAACTACATCCGACAGCAAAGCCTCTGATCGTGAGATCGGAGGTTTTGAGGAGCGTTGTACCACTTTTTAATTGCTGCTGTTCCCAGGTACCCCCCCCCGCCACGCCTCGGGCTAGTAGCAATTATTAGGATCCCAGATACGGATTTAATAGTGAAATTCAAAACAAAATAAAACACTATGAAAGTACAAAAATACATTTATTACCAGCAATACCTAATTATAGTAGAATAACCAACAATGCCTTTTTATGCCAAAATGACCAACAATACATTTTATCTCTAAATGCAATTATGTTCAAAATATTTATAATAGTATTGTCTAGTTTATTTTTACTGGTACGGTATTTACTATAATAAATAAGAGTTATGCAGTCTTCTGTCAAGCATTTATTTCTGGCGCGTCAGGCGAATAGAATATGGACCGACCATGTTAGCAAAGACGAAGTTTTAGAGAACAAAACAAATACGGTGAATTTAAAAAAAAAAAAAAAAAAAATGAAGCAAGACAACATCGAAAAAGAAGAAAGGAAAGGAAAGTCTTTTTGAAAGCATTTCAACCTTATTTAAAGAAAAAGAAACAAAAAAAAATTGTTTGACCTTAAATGATCTCTTGCTGATCGATGGGTCGTTAAGTTTTAAACAAACAAACAAACAAACAATTATAATTTCGTATAACGCTCATAATTGTTGTTTAGTAAGACTGTAAGGAAGACACTGGAAACAAAAGTTTGAGTGAAGAAGGGTTTAATCACATGAGAACATGGATTGAGAATGACAGTAGTTCAGTGCGACAAGCGTACGGCTGAAAAACGCTACAACTTTGCGAATCAATTTTGCCACTGTTCCTTGATCAAACATTCTACTAACCGCGAAAGAGACCGTTGAAATTTCTAGGCCACATAATGAAGAAAGAGGGTTTGTAAAATTTGATAATGAACTTTGATGGCAGAACAGGGTTTAGCAGAGATAACAAAAAGACAATTTATTAAGCGCTACGAATGGCAAGGAATTGTGGCGATCCATGATCACAAATGTCACAAGTGGTCACCCATCTAGGTATTGACCAGGCTCGACGTTTCTTAACGTCGGTGATCATAAGGAAACCGGTATTTCAACGTAATACGGTCATAAGTCTAGGAAGTGGTTTTAATAACATTTTGATATATATATATATATATATATATATATATATATATATATATATATATATATATATATATATATATATATATATATATATATATATATATATATATATATATATATATATATATATATATATATATATATATATATATATTATATATATAAGGTTAATATATATATATGTATCTATATATATATTAACTTTTTATATATATCTATATATATAACCTTGAATAAATATATATATATAATATTGTTTTAAGTATTGTTTGTATATATATATATATATATATATATATATATATATATATATATATATATATATATATATATATATATATATATGTTGTTTTTAAAGGTATGCTGTGTGTTCAATATCAGGAAATATAAATATAAAAGTGAACAATGTGGTCAGCACCGTGCTTTCATACCTGAACGCAATATTAAGGTTTGTAGGCAATTTTGTGGTCTGAATACAATATTCACTCATGAACCAGCGATGTCAGGATGATTGCCCCCCCCTCTAAATGCTTTTCAGTCAAGTCCTATTCCAGGCTTTTCACTTCTCCTACTGAACCCGGTCAATTCTTCTCTGGGTGCCTGACATTCTGATTCGTCCCCAATGTGTTTGTCGAAGCTTCTACTGTACACCTTTTTCAGTCGCACTCCATGTGAAAGCTACTGACTGCGTGTTGCATACTGTCAGCAGTTTTTCTCAGACAGCCTGCACAACGATAAGCCAGTTCTTTTTATCATTTGAGCACTTAATTTTTTATTACTATGAAAACTTACTGCTGGTAATGTTTTCTAATGTATTTTTATATATCATGTTTTTACACCAATTTGGATGTTCACTATTTGCCCGTAGCAAGGCCCTTAACAGTTGCTGTTACCCTTGGGCAGTGTGGACCTGAGAAGAGGCGGTACTACTCTCCTCAACATCTCCTCAGAGGCCTTGCTGCTCGATGTAGTTTATCATCTTACCCAGAGCAATAGAAACGGAGGCTTACCGCCGATAAAAAGCGTGCTCGATGGAAAGAAAACAACAGGGCAACATCGGGGAGAGCGTCTATCGCATGCTTCTGTTGCAATCGAGGCTGACACTCGTGTGGGCCTGTACAGCCATAACAGATACTGCGTTGTCATCAGCAACTGAGGTAGAACTCTTTAGTCGCAGTCCCATGGCCTCTCGCGACCAACGGACGCCACACATAGAGCCATGGACAAAATTATGAGGCAGGTGTATGAAAGTTAGAAATATATTTGAAATTCCTTTATCTTATCATTTAAAGAAAAAAAGAACAAAGTTTTTTTAAGTAAATTTAACCTATATTTCATACTTGGTGTGGGCTCCTTTTGCTTTTATAACTGCTTTTATTAAATTTTACATATTGGAGACCAGCTTAGCACAAGTAGTTGGCATGATTTACTGCCATTCTTCATGAAGTTTGTCTTCTAATTTGCGTTTTGAAGTATATTTGTGCAACCTCACTCTTGTACCTAAGCATGGCCACAGATGTTCAGTGGGATTCAGGTCAGGGGATTGAGGAGGCCACTACATTACCCTGACTTCTTTCTTTCCAAACCAACACTTCAAAACTCTGGATATGTGGCATGGTGCGTTGTCTTGTTGGAAGATTACTCCATCCGGTATATTACTGATGAAATTTTCTCTGATGAAGTTTGGTAACATTGGTCTAACATTCTTGTGTAAGTTTTGGAATTCATTCTACCTTCTTGTGTGAATGACATTCCTGCCCCGGAAGACGACATGCAGCCAAACACAATTACGCTCCGACCTCTATATTTTAAAGTTGAGGCAATATATTGATCATCATATGTTTCCCTAACACTTCAACGAATATAAACAGCTGCAGGGGTCCCAAAAATCTGATAAAAATAAACATTTTAGGATAATTTTCTATTTAATAAAAAATACAATACTGATAGGCGTAATAAAATCAATTATAAAAGAAAATAATAAAAATAAAAATAAAGAAACTTACTTCAAAGTTGCTTTCATCAGACCAAAAAAACTTTTGCCTAATCCTCAGCCGTACAATTTTCATGCTCTTTTGCAAAAGAGTGTCTCTTTTTCTTATTAACTTAAGGCAGCAATGTGTT